TTTCCCCCCCCCCCCTTTTCCATATGTCCATTATTTTCCTTTGTCTTATCTTCATTTTGAACTAAAAATTATATATATATATATATATATATATATATCATCAGTAATTATTTTAGAAACTTGAATGCTAGAACACTTACGGAAAAATCAGTTCACTTTTAAAACATTATACGGTGTAAAAGTTTTGTAGTTTTAATGTGATGCTAAAATCTGCACCATACTATATATAGTACAAGAAAGATTAATTAGAAGAATAACATAGTTTAGCATCACACCGATTTCATCAATCTTGAATGTTCGCTCGATATATTCTGACAGTCTAGCAGATTTTATTCTGCTTATTAGTTGTATTTTACAAAACTTCATTAATATACTATGCGCTGCTAAACATTTAATATATTATGTTAATGATTTTTAAAAATTAATTATTTCAAAATTAATTATTCTTAATGCGTTAATTTCAATGCTGTTAAAGATATTTAATCTTACCTGAAAAGCATCCAGCTCATGTTCACCAGTGCTTCCAACTATTATAGTAGCCGATTGCATTCCAAAAGGTCGGATTTTGCCAGGTAAAGGCAACTTTGCACTATGTTCACAATCTAAGTAGAAGGAAACAGTGTTTCTTCGCACACTGAAGGCTATTTGATGCCAGTGATCATCGAACAATGACTTCACGAAGCTCACTCGAATGTTATCTTTGTCAGATAAAACAAGGGTTAGCTTATCACTCATATACAATCCAACCTGCATAGGAAAAAGAATCATTTTTAGAAATATATTTAATTATTGAATTGTGAAATAAATTTCAAAAAATGCGCCGCAAGTTACCGCAAAGAATTGTCGAATGCGACTTCTTAGTTTTATAAAACTACAAACATGCATACAGATACATAATCGCAGATTAAATATAAATGATTTATTTAGTTTCTAAAGGCTGTTTGTTACAAGCATAAGACGAGCAAAGATGGATGACATACATCTGGTACTCTTAAGTGTTTAATGTGTGCATCTTTGTTCAACTGGCACACATCCACATTGTAAACTAGTTCCCTCATACGTTCAATAGTATATTTCTATCAATATCCATCACACCAGCAATGTTGGTATTGGTGATACACAAACTTTGTCTTTCACAAGTTCATACGATCCTTAATCTTCCCAATTTTATGTGCTATCAACACAGCAGGAATGTACAACTGCTGCTATGCTAGACGTTGATAAAAACAAAAACATTCTATTGTACTTTTGGGAAAAAATTCTATTGTACTTGTTTTAAAAAAAACATTCTATAGTAAATGCGTGTGCACCCGTTGAAGAATGATAGAAAATTTCAAATATGCACCAGAAATTCATTGAGTGCATGTATCTTTCACTCGTGTATCATTCATCTTTGTTTTTCGTATGCTTGAAACTAATAAACAGTTCTTTAACGCTAGAAGAATTATTTAGACTGAACCAAGATTACTAGATTTTTCTTTATCATCATTGCCTTGTCATATATTAGATGAAGGAATTTGGAAGATAGGCAAAAAATGCAAGCCTGAAAATACTCTCCTCTTCCAAACATCAAATTCCAAACATCAACTTCTAACCTTCTTACTATCAACCACTTCTAATATCAGAATATTAGAAGTGGTTGATACATTACAGCAAGCACTCTTCATCACATTTAAGCATAAGTTTTAAAAGCTATTAAAAAACGCCAATTTCTGTACAACCTAATTACTTGAGATGTGCAAAGTGTAATAATAATATCTGACCGCGCTGTCCATTTATTGGTTTCATTTGTATGTTAATATTTATTGCCCACTTTCATCTCTACTGTCTGGTGTTTGCTTCAGTTGACCGAACACATTTTATACTTTAGACAGCGATAGTGTCAAATTTTAAACAAAAAATTATACTTGGAATCACAATAATCAAAAAAATTCTTTAACAAATCTATAAAATAGATCAGTGGTTCCCAAATTGTGTTTTAGGAGGCTTAGGATTTCGTGAAAGAGTGAAAGGGATTCCGTGAATTTGTACTTCTTGCAATCACCAATGAATTTTGAAACCTCCGATTATAGTTAAATCAAAGCTATTATTTACAATTTAATCGTCCGGATGGTTTTAAGAAGTCAGTAAAATAAATTTTAAAAAATATAATAATTCTAAAAATAATATACTGGGCAATTATGAAAAGAACAAGAATTTTTAAACTATTGCATCAGTATTTTTTATCGCAATTTTCAAATCAAACTCAAGTAATTCTTTAATAAAGAAACGTGTTTCCTTCATACTTATTTTCAAGATTTAATTTTTAAAGTTTATTTTTTTTTAAGTTTATGTTTTTAATTTTTCAGTATTTCGAAGTAAACCATAATTCAGCTTATTTTATTCTTTTTCATCTCATGTGTATACACCAAAAACAAATTCCTAATTATAGAACGAGGACTGCAAATTTAACTGTCGGACACGAAGCATAATTAAGGATTTTTAATAATGCAACGATGAAAAATCTTCATTCCTTTAACTAAATATTTTAAAGATAGTCTTTTATAGGAATTGTTTAAAACATCAACAATTTCTTAAATAAACTTTATTTATGCATTTAGGGTTCCACTCAAAGAAAATTGATTACTTAAGGTTTCGCTTCCGAAAAAATTGGTAACCGCTGGAATAGATTATGTTCTGAATCAAACACATAGATGTTCTTTAAATAAATATTGCAGAAGATAAAATTCCGTATCTATCGTTTACGATATCAAATCACATTCATTTAAATAATGAAGTTACCAAAACTAACTAACTAATACATAAAACAAAATCTTATACGAAACACTAAGCATACGCATACGCATGACGAAGTTTATTAAATTAACAGAAGGAATATGAATTATTCACTAAGAAAAGCAGAGTTTCTTACCCAAATAGCGAACGTAGTCTGAAACTAAACATTAGATAAAATAATGTGTTCATTGTTCTGTTAAAACAAGAAATATAAATTTGTCTTAATGTCTGAAAAGTCTATTTATCCATGTTTACGGAACTAAAATTAAGCGAAATGCAAGATATATACCAATTAAGAAATTTATTTGTAAATTAATATATTTTTCCATCTTCATTATACGCGTATTACAAAGAATTGTCTTGGGATCTTACTGAGAGAAAGTTTGAATAGTCCATATTAGCATTTGTAACACAAATCTTTTAAGAATTTTATTAACTCGTACTTTTTGCTAAAAATTTTTGATGCAGGTGCTGTTAATTTATAAATTAAAACACTTACAAATATCTAGGTAAATATAAAATGTTCCAAAAGTGTTTTTATCTTTAAAAATAAATTTTTTCTACTCAATATTAAAAATTGCTTTTATTAAAATACATAATTTCTATAACATGAACTTCTGAATAAAAATGTTGATGCTGCTACTGTTAGTTTAATCGTTGCATGATTGCACATAATTTAAATCTCTTTCAAATATAATATATTTTGTAAATGTTTGTGATTTTATTATGAGCAAAATATAATTATATAAATATTTTATACGAATAAAACTAAATACAATACTTACCGGAAATACGATCCTGTGATACAATAAAATATAAAATACATTAAATCATGCCAAGTTGACATTAAACACACTATTCACTTGAAATAATATTGTTCACGATTAATACCAATTCTTTAAAAAATCAATTTCTTTTGAAAGAAGCCTCGTGTTACCTTCTAAAGAATTTATTCGATTCCGAAACAGTGTANAAAAAAAAAAAAAAAAAAAAAAAAAAAAAAAAAAAAAAAAAAAAAAAAAAAATACATCGGAGAAACGAAAATAAATAAATGAATAGGGATTTTTCGATGCAAAATCCTGGTTACAAATCATGATGATCAGACAAATCTTTCCAGCATAAGAAGCAAACAAAATTTATATATATAATGCAGGCAAAGTTTTTATTTATTTTTCGCTGCTGAGTTATTGAAACTAGATATCACGTTAACATTCCATCTGTTATTGCATTATTTTGATTTCAGTGTTGCTATGTATAAAATATATTTTTTTCCGACAGAATATTTATCAATATGAAAACTGTAAGAAAATTTTAAAACTGTAAAAAATGAGGAAAGAATTTGATATGATGCTGGGAATATCAATTTAACGTTATATTCCGTAACCAATCAAAAAAACTTCACACCCTGCTTGCTTCGCCCCATCCCTAACCTTACGATCAAAAGAACTATTGTATAAGCACTATTCTCGATTCTAGCTATTCTTGATTCTTTTGGAATTAAAGATTAAGCCAACCATCATTGCCACTTCACCCAGAATAATTTTTAAATTTGTATTTAATTTTTTGATGCTCTTAAAAATCTTTCAATTTTTGCCTAATAAATTTTTAAACAAACTAGTAAAAAGTTGATTCCAACACTGAGAAAAAAAGCATGGTCTAACTAAACCATCAAAATATTATAAAATTTACTTTATGTGCTCAAGAAAAGACGGTAATTTCTAACGAAGAGCTTTGGTAACGACTTTTTGGTAAAATTAACAGCAAAATATGGTTTTTATTACCATCCTGTTTGATAGTAAATGTAGTTAAATCTGGTAATTTTATCTGGCATTTTTCACAGTGCTAGTTCAGTTTGAGAAGAAGCAAATATGAGCAGTTTGATAACTTTTCTTCTGTTTAGCAAACTCTTCTTAACTTTGTATCGCGTAAGTTATTTGTTTGCTTTTTCTCTATGCAAGCTATAAGTTAACATCTACCAACCTTAAAAACTATGAAATTTATTTTTTTGCAAATTTACAAGTGCCCGATCAATTGTTAGCTAAATAAGTAGCTTAACTGTTACGCACCAGGGCTGTCCCAACGTCCTTAAATGAGGACGTAGAGGTAGCGAGTTTGAATCCAACAGTAACTCTAAATGCATCGATTTATTTATACTTTTTATTTAATAATACGCACACATACGTTGGCTTGCGGGCTCAATACAAAGCATGGCTTGCATGCCTTTGTGAAGTCGAAATACAGATAACATAAGGTAGAAAGACAGTACAAACAAGCATCCTGAGTCACAGTGGGATTCGAACCTGCTATCTCCACATCACAATAGATGTTTTTTGTGATATTTTCTCTCATTTTAAAAATCTCTTCTTCAATTTTACAAGGACACATAACCATGCTTTGTTGTTGTAGTTAATTTATGTCGCACTAGAGCTGCACGATGGACTATTGGCGACTGTCTGGGAAGCACCCCTGAGGATGATGATACGACATGGCATCACAATTTTGATCCTCTGCAGAGGTGATGGCACCCCCGCTTCGGTAGACCGATGACCTGCACGCGAAGTCAAGCACTGCACGGTAGAACAGTTTAACGAGGACCAAAACCGCACATCCTCGGTCCCTACGCAGACTGATGCAAGTGGTCACCCACCCTTTCACTGACCGTAGCCAGTGATGCTTGACTTCGGTGATCTGCTGGGAACCGTGTCTTAACGATCAGTCCACTGCGGGACAACCAAGCCTTGCAATGCACACAAGACTGCAAATATATGTGTAACAATAAATAAATAAATGCATTCATGGAACAGTAAGGTTTTTTAATTATTATTACAGCAGTCTCGTCTTTTAGTCAAATGCTATTTACAATGAATGTAGCGGTTTCAAATCAAAGCGTTACCATGAATGTGCAATAGTGAATAACTTGGTGTAGACACATTGCAAAAAATGTCTCTTGTCAAATTACAGAACAGATAGCACAAAAATGAGAAATGCAGCACTAAGATACTTAACCC